GGGTTTGTAGGACCCCTTTTGAACTCCCAATCGTCTGTTGACCCAATCGTCAACTTATTCTGGCCAACTTTGATGCCGTGGAGATACCGACACTCTGCTTCGGAGATACCGAGGATGCGGCATGCACGTCCTGGGCTTCGTGCCGCCCGGTGGCTTGGTCACGACCCCGTTGACGAGCGCCACGTCTGGTCGCCAGGCGCGGGCCTTAAGAAGCACAGATTGGGCACGATGCAGCAAGATATAGCAAGACTAGATGCTTTATTGGTTGGCTCTTCACCATGCGATTTTTTTTCCACCACGTGTGTTTGCATCATGATTGTCATGGAGCACGTTTGCACTGGGTTTTGCTCGTGTTGCTGGCTCGCAGATTTTCACCTGCCCAGATCTTTAGTCTTTAGTCCCACTTCCGCCCCACGTGGTGGGCGCGCCGTTTTTGCACGCCATGTCTGAGACATCCTCTCCGAAGCGACCGATTGACAGTGTGGCGGAGGTCGGGTTCATGTTGGACGTGCCCCCAGACCACCCGATGGCCCGCGAGGGTGCCAATGCAGATGGACGAGTTCGCACTGCTGGGGACTGGCAGGTGCCTCCGGAGATGGCATTGAAGTTCTTGGAGCAAGGCAACCTGGGACCGTTTCAGAGATCTTCTCCACCAGACACTCTAATCATCTCTAATCACATACACCCTACCGTATGTGTCTCAGTAGGGTCAACATTACTCAGCAGTTATTGTAGGAACCAAATGAATAGCGTGAGCATGCGTGAGCTATCCTGCGTCCAGTAGCTATAGGCTATAGGCTATAGTAGCGTCCTGCTTAATATCTACTATAGCCTTAAGTATTTGTTTCGGCTACTGTAGCACTATAGCTATAGTTAGCGTCCTACTTCATATCTACATGCCTACTTGCTCACTACTTTTTCGGGTGAGGGCAGCCGCACCGAGGTAATGGGCGCTTCATTCGAGGCTCTCCCAAGGCACGGGTGGATGCCACAATGCGGAAGGAGCTCGAGCGTGATGGCCAGGCGCCACACTCCGCGATCCTGGGATGCGCGGATTCCCGGTGTCCATTGGAAACGATCTTCGACACACTGCCCGGAGACATCTTTGTGCTGCGCAACGCTGGAAACACCTGCACACATGCAGAGGGAAGTATGGTTGGCAGCTTGGAATTCTGCACTGGCAAGTTGGGTGCGCGCTTGATCCTGGTTCTGGGCCACACGAAACCTGGGATTTCACACATTTTATATAAGCTTTTTCTTATATGTTTTTGTTTGGCTTTGGGAACCTATTGTGCAACGTATAACGTTGGATGTTGGCGATCAGCAACTCCAAGGAAATGTGGTGCAGTCTATGGTGCCACTCAGGCCTACGTGGAGGGCCAACGAGCCAAGAACGGCATCGAGTCTGCGCTCGAGGGCCTTTTGGAAGACATGTCTCCGGTGGCCACGTCAGCCTTGAAGGAGCACATGGAGGTGGGAGAACATGAAGACAAAGTCAGCCTCCCAACACCTCCCAACAGGCAGCATCCAGCATCACACCACTGTAGCATCAGATGTTTAGGCCTGATTGTCCATGTTCAATGGTCTTCCAGTATGAATGGAAGATGGGAGAATCCAACAATCTTGACAGGGTCATGTTGGGTGTCAGTGTCCTAAATCTGAGGATGGGCCAGGTGTCATGCATAATCTCAGCATCTTTCCTTTTACTGTAAATTTTTGGCCTGGGGAGTGAAGAACTTCCAAAAAAACGGTTCTCTTTTTCGTGCAGGCGGTGGCCGCTACGGCCATCCGTGTGAATGTCTTCCACACGATCGACTTCTTGCTCAAGTATAGCGCTCCCTTGCGAGAACGAGTGGAGAACGGCGATGTGGAGATTCATGGTGGTATCTACCACCTGGACTCCGGCAAGGTGGAGTTCATGGGCGAATCTCCCCGACAGGCGGAACTCTTGAACTCCTCCGAACACATCCCTCCATCGATGACTCTGGAGGGTGGCCGTCGCGCTGGCTATGGTCCACCAGCACGTGGAGCGCATGGGCTACGAACCGCGGCCGATGGCCCTATGTCCGCCAATGAAGCATTGAACATGCTTCTCGGAAGTCATAGTCTAAGGGAAGTGGTCCTCTCTCATGTTTTGCAACCAACACAAAATGGCCGTCGAACGACGGGCAAGTTAGACCAGTCTACTTAGCCTTGTGCTGAAGGAGGAGGTGGTGGCAGTGACATTGAAGAACGAGTTGGAAGAAGAAGAACTAGTCTAGTAACTCGTCAACTGATCAGGCTCTGAAGCTTATACCTTGCTTATAAATCAATCTTAGAATAATACGTTGCAACACCCCCTCAGGTTACCAGCCAGGGGTTAAGATGTTGCAACAACCATTGTGACCAGTGGTGTTGAACTCAGGTTGAAAGAAGGCAATGAGCGCTTTGCCGTGGGGGCGCCGTTTGCTAAGCTTGCTGGGGTGAAAATGCGGGAGGCGCTTGTCACGCATGGGCAAGCTCCACATACTGCCATCATGGGCTGTGCTGATTCCCGTGTACCGTTGGAAACTGTTTTCGACGCCCTTCCGGGGGACTTGTTTGTGCTGCGAAATGCAGGGAACACATGCACCTTGGGCTGAAGAAAATGAGGGGCACTCTCAATTTTTGGGGTCCGGTCCCAGGTAGTTTCACCCAATGTACTTGACATTGAGTTCATAGTTAGACTTGCTTGACGACGCGTTGCAGGTACACATGCAGAAGGGAGCATGGTCGGGAGTTTGGAGTTCTGTGCCGGAAAGTTGGGTTCCAAGTTGATCTTGGTGCTGGGACACACTCAATGTGGCGCCATAGCTGGTGCCACCAAGACCTACTTGGCAGGCAAGCACTCTGGACCAGTCAAGGCAGCTAGTGCACTAGAGGGGCTGCTCATTGGCTTGTCAGGAGCGGCTCAGCAAGCGGAAGATGAACTTGGTGCATGTGAGCCTGATCAGTTGGTGGCCCATTGTGTCAGGGTGAACGTGTGGCGTTCCATTGACTTCCTCCTCAAGTTCAGTGCGCCTTTGAGAGCATTGGTGAGAAGTGGGAATCTGGAAATCCAAGGTGGAATCTATCACTTAGAGACGGGCCGAGTGGAGTTCATGGGCCGTTCACCGAAGCAAGCAGAGTTAGTGGCCTCTGAAAAGACTCCCATGCCACCAATGCTCCAAAGCTTGCCCATCCGCACCACCCGCGATGGTCCCATGCAGCCGCGCCGCGCCTTGCGGATCTTGAAGGATGGCAATCGGCGCTTTCACCAGGGTGAGCCGCTCTCGGGGAATGTGACGGGACAAATGAGGAAAGCTTTGGCTCAAGAAGGGCAAGCCCCCTTGGCGGCCATCTTAGGCTGTGCCGACTCTCGTGCACCTTTGGAGACCGTTTTTGACACCATGCCCGGGGATGTCTTTGTGTTACGAAATGCGGGGAACACCTGTACCCATGCAGAGGGCAGTGTCATGGGAAGCTTAGAGTTCTGTGTGGGCTCCTTGGACACCAAGCTCATCATCGTGCTTGGGCACACTGCCTGCGGAGCCATCAAGGGTGCCACCAAGACACATTTCTTAGCCAAGAATGGCCAAAGACCCCAGGCGATTTGGGGAATTTCTCTTTCGTTCGGTGAAGGTCGAAGGGTGAAGGTCACCGATCACCGATCGGAGCTCCATGCAATTCCATAGAAAGTACATGTCATCTGCAGAAGTGTTAAGTGTTATTGAGTATAAGTATATCAATTTGAGGTTCTTCCTTCAGCGCTTCATCATGTTCCATCAGTTTATGTTTGTGCTCCACATTCGAACATTTATTTGCAATTGTGTGTTTTTTTCAATCAGTTTTATGGACCCCCAGGTGACCAGGGCATTGGATGCGCTGTTGCAGAGTTTGAGCGCGATTGCTGCCAAAGCAAACGATGAGTTGGGCCACCATGCAACAGAAGCCCAGGATTTTTGAGAACTGTTTTTTGGATGTTCGTGTCGTGGATATCCCTCGTCGGATTTTTGTCTAGGCAGGTCAAGGGTTTGCACAAAGGGCCTTGAAACCCGAGCAAATCCAAGGAGGAAGAGGTTGCCACGCATGCCGTGAGGTTGAATGTCTTCCATAGCATTGACCGTTTGCTTGAGTACAGCCCATTGGTCCGAAGCAAAGTAGAGGCAGGTGAAGTGGAGATTCATGGGGGCATTTATGACCTTGAGACTGGCGAGGTCAGGTTCCTGGGCACCAGCCCCAATCAAGACGCACTGCTGAAGTGTGGGTCAGCATGGTGTCACTTGTAAGCCCCTACTGCAAGTCTTTTAAGGCATCAGCTCAGCTTGAAGCTTGCCAGTTAATGAACCGCAGCACCTGCTGCTCCCTTTTCACCCTTTTCGCTGCAGCAACAACGCTGCTGCCTTTCAACTGCTCCTGCATCTTTTCCTGCAGCTGTATTTGCGCTGCCGCAGGGCAGCACCTGGCTCCTTCTCGCACCGGCGAGAACCAGAAACGCACCCCATGTGCAAGCTTTCTGCTCACCAAAACAGGAGCACCGAGGATCGTAAGGTTAGATGTGGCTCATTGAAGAGGTTTGGGAATTTGAGACATCAGTTTGATTCGTCTTGACCCACCCAACCACTGGGCTGTTTGGTGCAAGATTCGCTTTTCGCTCGTTACCCATGGTGATGTGCAAGTCCATGCGCATCTGATGCATTCAGAAAGCAGGTTTGCAGACCAATTCTTGACCACTTGGATGTGAGAAGGGCTTTTCGTTGGCACCTTTGGCACCTCCAATTGACTCACTGGAGAGGTAACGAAGACGGCTGAGAAGTTGAAGCTTGAGACCAAGGATCGGTTAAATGCGGATACCATGTTTGATCAACCCCACAAATCGATGTTTTGGATCATCGTTGTGACTTCATGCGATTTGCCTGGAAATCCCTGAGGAGATTGTGAAAGGTCCATCCTCTTGGAAAAAGGGCAAGCCGTTGTATGAGCATGGCAACTATGGCAGTGCCTTGGTTGCAAGTTTGCCACGACAGGTGCTCCATGAGCCAAGTTCATTGCCAGTTATGCTGCCACGCTTGGGATCCCACAAATTCATGCGAATCAGGAGCTTGTTTGCTTCACATTTTTGAGCATGACTGCGCTTGATGGGCCAATCAACAGGATGACTTCACGCGAGATTGGCGCGTTTGCATTTCGGAAGCGGGACCCCTCAAGGAGCAAAGAAGCAGTCGTGATTCATTCATATACAATCCGTCCTCGACATCTCTCGTGTGCCTTCAGGCTACTACAACTATCGCCACTCCGAGAGCGATTTCTTCGTCGGTGACCGACGATTGGCGGCCCTGAGTGAACGCTTTGGGACACTTGGCCAGCTGGCTGTGATTTGGGATGATTTGGGGATTCCAGTTGCTGTGGCCGAACTTCATCGTTGTGGCTGATGCTTCGGAGACATTGGGGGGTGGAGAAATGAAAGCATATGAAAGCTAAGACGAACAAAGACCATCACTTCGAGAGACTGCATGAGAGAGAAGAATATTGATATTATATTGATATTGATTGATTGGTTGGTTGATTGATTGATTGATTGGTTGATTGATTGATTGATTGATTGATTGGTTGATTGATTGGTTGATTGATTGATTGATTGATGATGATGATAAGATATGATAAGCCTTCTCTGTGGAGCTTCATCCCCAAAATCGGAAATCTGAAGGGTGTAGTGTGTAGTTTGCTTGACCTGTCAGATGCTAAGGAAGAGCTTCTTGAAAGGCAAAGAAGTCCTGGACATTGGCTGCAACTCAGGACGGCTTCAGCCAGCTTCAAAAGACCTCATTGAACCTGCTTGCAGGACCTTCCAATCCCGCAAAATTTGAGGAAGTAGACATCCCCGCAGAAAGCTCGAGCTTGACACCCCTTTGATTTGGAACCGGGGACTCACCTGGTAGAAGGAAAGCATGGATGAGATCATGTTAGAGGGCCTTTGTGGCGCCTCTTCTTGGTTTTCCAGGTCTCTCAAACAGAGACGTCGCAAGCCGCAGATGGCGTTGGAGACGTCGCAAGACTCACGGTCACGTTGCTGTACAATGTGATCCTTCCAGAATGTGGTCCAGGACTCGTGTCCATTTCCGCGGCACTGGATTTCCGTGCCAAGCGCGTCGTCGGAATGGACATTGATAGCGGTTTGGTGGACTCTGCCAGAGACTTGGTTGCACAGAGGTGGCAAGAGCATTGCAAAGTTAAGTAGACGTGAGCTACAACTGGTCCATTGTAATGTCAAAGACGTCAATGTCAGTTTGTCCAGCAGATTCCAGCAGCAAGCAGACCTCTCAAACACACCATGATCCCCCTTCCGAAAGGACGCATATATAATGAGTTTAATGCCTAGTGACCTACTGCTTGCAGTCGGAGCTTGCCTTCGTTTTGGGACAGACCCATGATGAACTTGCAGTTTAAATGCCATGAGCCTGGCTGTGAGGACAGAACCTGGCGCAGACCGAACACCCACGAGTCTTGGCATGTAAGGGGGGTGCCCCAAAGCCCGAGTCTGAGAGTAAACATTGAAATGACATGCATCACAATTTGCGAAGTATCAGCTGGAGTTCTGCGCACGGTGTTTTGTGGATTCACAGGTTCTTTTCGAACATACCAAGTCTCAAGGTCATTCGTAGAAACATGACATGCACTTGCCATCACTTGCTTCTTTGAGCCCTGGGCATAGCTACTCAGATATACTACCAACCAAAACCCAGTCCAACCAACACATTGCCTTGTCCGCGCTGTGGACACCGACTCCTGCAGGTGCCATCCGTGCGGCAGACTCCCTGGAGTTCCGTGCCGAGGACATCCTCCACTGCCCGCTGCGGCGGCCACCCGAGGAGCTGCCTGAACGCTTTGATGCGCCGTGTCGAGCACCGCAGCGAGCGAGGACGTGGACGGCGAGGACGGCGAGGAGTGATGAAAGAATAATATCCCATCAAACATTGGAGGTGTGGACGGCTGTTCTGGTCTGTGTTTTTTTCATCCACAGTCTACATCAGGAAAAGAATTGACATGAATGGAATCTGCGTTTCATCCGGTGAGGTTGAAGGGATGAGGGAAGGGATTCCACTGATTCCTGACATTCCAGAACCTGAGTGGAGATGATGGTGATTTTGAGATATGTTGAGTGATCAAATTTGCATTCCATGTCCAGAAGGCCCAGCGTATAGCAATCGTAGTTCGAGGGTGCTTGAGAGAAGACGGCTACAAGGGAAAGGAAAGAGAAAACCAGTCTAGCCAGAAGAGGGTGCATTGGTGCACCATTTGCACTGAAAGAGGGGTTCCTTTATGTATCTTTATGTCATGTTATTTGCATTATTTTCTCTTCACTGGTTTGGCAGAATGCCACGTGGATCAATTATGAAAAAGCTCACCAGTCGCACCGAACGCGTCCTGTCCTAGTCAATCGCCAAAACAGCGCTGCGCTGAGGTCGTCCTGTGCTTCTCGGTGACGAAGTGGATCCATTTCGCGCATGGTGATACTGGCATCCACAACCTCTTCAAGCGCTGCTTCAAGCGAACGAGGTTTGTGTGTGTCGAAGAGTATTTAAAAAGAGGGCCACCCCACCATGACGTTCCACCATGAAGTTCTTGAGTTACCAGTTGCCTTGGATATGTTTAAACCATGAGGTTGGCAGCTCGGTTCCGACGGTTTAGGATGGTGCTTCCATGTGTGTCCTATACTTTGGGAGGAAGATGGTTTGTTCTTGCCAGGTCATGCCGGGTCTGAAAACATCTATGTAGGGCGGTCAACTATCACACCTCCTTCAAGAAGCAAAACTCTGGTCCTCGTGGTGTAGGGATAGTTCTGTTGCAACGATTTTGGCCCTGATGCTGGCCATGGTTGGTACAGTGCCAAAGCCTGCTGGCCAGCACCAATCAGGTTCTAGGCCAGTTACGATGGCAGTCGTGCTATGTGGTTGGTGCTTGCCACATATGATTGTTTGTTCTTACGTCTTGGAGTCTTGCGGTCTGAATTTGGCACTTTGCACCTCATTAAGCTTTCCCACAGCAAGATGCAGGAACTTGAAGCACTCACGACATCGTTCAATAAGACTAGACTTACGACATCAGCCCACAGGCCAGGTGGCTACTTCGTTCTGGAGCCGCAGGAGTGGGGTAGCTACAAAAAGACTTTCAGCAGCAGGGAGGATCATATTTGCTAAGAAAGCCAGTTAGCAGTTAGATGGTGGATCGAGGAGCCACACACTTAGAAATGTATGTAATAAAGTGCCAATCCCTTTCGTCTTGGTTCGTGTGCAGCCGTTCTGGTATGCTATATAAAGTCTTTGAACGCTGTGGAGATCGTTTGTTGCTTGGAGCTTGATACAGCTTGAGACAGTGATCTTGATGTCCGCAATTGCGGCACACCTGGAGATTCTCACCCAGTTGGCCGAGGGGTGTGCCGCTGAAAACTCCCCGCTGAACAAGACCAAACGGGTTCGTTGAGATCTTGCGCTGAATGACACCGGCCACCCGAGGAAACGTCACATCACCAGAGAGGTCCGGCAAACCGTGTCGAAGATCCAGATCCGACCAGAGGTGCACAAATCGCGATGAAAATGGTGGGTAATTGAGTTTGGATTCAGAAAAGTGGTTCAGGAAAGTTCAGGATTCACCTGTTTTATTGCGCCGTTTGTACCTGGGGTGCTTCACCGAGCAAGAGCATATCCACATATACAGTGGGAGTGCCAAGGAAAATGTAAAGTTGAGTTCATCGCACTGGCTCCAGAGTTTAGGGTTTGAGGGTTCCTGCTAGAACCCTCAAAATGAGAAAAGCAGATGATTTTCAACCAAGGGAGTTGGCAGAATTCTTTATTTTGGGGAATAAGTTGCTGACCAGGTCCAGGCGGCTGCGCTCTTGAGTCTTGAGCAGACATCAGCCAGCATGAAGCCGGGTTGTGACAAACATTCACAAGACAGTGACAGTGCCACGAAAACGTTGCAGGCTTTGATTTGCCCTGAGAAGGAACATAGAAGAACAGGGAAAGTAGCTCCAGCTACTGTCCACATAAGAGCATAGAAAAAACAGCAGCTCCAGCAGCTGTCATAGAAGACTCCTTTTCTTAACAGCTGCTGGAGCCACAGGTTGAAGAACTACAAGGTTGTTAGAATGTGGTGTACTTGTGGAAGCTCTTTCTTCTGCAGCTTTCCTGGCACCAGGACTTCGAAGAGTACTTGGTAAATCTGGGCTTTGAAAAGGTTGCTGCTATAGAGCCTCCAGGCCAGCCGCTCCAGTGTGCTGGAAGTCCTCGACCCATTTCTGGGTTGGCGACAGCCCCATTTAGTTTGCGAAGAGATCCTGAAGTCAGAGGCTTTGCGCATCAGTTGGGCCAACTGCCAACATTTCAGCAAACGCAACTACATGATTTAATAGCTTATTAAGTTAATTTGTTTCAAGACCTTCCGTGCTGCATTTGACCATCGCAGCCTGATACTACTTGCACCTGTTTGCTTATGCCTGCTGTGTTAGCCTCAATGTTCCACCCTTTGAGCCGATTCGGCCGCCCCAGGCGATTTGCCCAAGAACTTCCAGCGCTTCCTCCGGGTCTTCCGCCGCCCGGACGACGTGCCGGACGCGGCGCCCGACGACGGGGCGCCCGCGGCGAAGGTCGAAGCGAAGCCCCGGAAGCGCAAGGCGCCGGCGTGAGGCAAAACGCGCGACGCACAGCGCCGCACAGCCGGCACGCGCCGAAAAAATAGAAGCGCCAAAAACATGGGGGGCTGATCCGGTAGAGCGCGGGCGGGGACGAGTGGGGTGAACATGTGGAAGATAGGCTTTACGTTTTTGGGGGCTATGACCCATGTGGAGATCAGCACGCCGCTATGGCAACACAAATCTTTAGAGGGATCCTCCTTGTGAGTGAATCTCTGGGAGTTTGGTTTGGTGTTCAAGCTGGCTGGGGGGATGTTGAACATGTGCCGCATGTGGGGACGGCCTCACATCCAGTCTTGCCACATGAGGTTTGTTCAATGTACATGCACTAATTTGAATATTGCGGAGCATGTTTGTTACATTGTTAGTTTGAGGCATTTTGAACGTTAAACAATCTAGATACAATCTAGTTAAAACACTCTTCAATCGTGCTCTACTGGAGCAGCACCTGTGGAGCAGTTGTCCGTGCTTTCGCCTCGGATCGGCTGCCAAGCGGATGCTCAAGCCAAAGTGGTGTGCCGGCCATGGGCGTTCCATTTGTGCGGCGTTCCTGAAGGGAAGGGACCGCATTTCGCCAGAGGGGCGCCACTTGGAGACGAAGATTGGAAGATTTTGGAAGGCTGCAAAGCTTGTGTTTTTTTTTGCCTTTTTGAATCTTATTGAGTCTCTATTTTGGGTGCCCTTGTTACTAGGGCGATGCCTCAGAGCATCGACTCGGAAGACTTGGCACCATCTTGGCACCAAATACATGCAAAAAACATGCAAAAAACGATAATTGATATAATATACACCCTGGAAGACTAACATGGACCCTGAAAACCACACTCTTCCAGGGGGCCAGGACGGACCCGGGTCTATGTGAGTTTTCGGGAGTGTATTCATTGGTTTGGTGATGTTTGCATGTGGCGCCCGGAGTCAGGGGTCGAGATGAATCTTTGCACGACGCCAAAGGAAACACAGTCCATCATATTTTCGTCGAAATCAGTTAGATGATATAGTTCACTTATAGTTCACTTATGTGCTCACTTGGGACTGGACACTCCATATGCAGGGCACACTGACTCCCTTTTGGAGCGAGGCTTGGGCTCGCCAATGAAGCGATCCTTGGATGTTTATAGTTAATTACCCGTTTTCACACGAGTTGTGCTGGGCTCAAGCCCAGACAAGCTTTTTGCATCTGGAATTAGCCCCTGTGATCCGAAACAAAGGCTTTCAGCTGCAGTCAGCTGCTTTGCATCCCAGGATGCCCTTAGGGCAATGGTCCGGGCACATTTGGCAAACCGGGGACACCAACGATTCCCTCGTTCCAGCATCCAGAAGCCCAACCCCACAGGCGGCCAAGCGCGTGGGGTGTACACAAGCACCGGGCCAGTGGGATTGGTGATCACATCTCGGATTGATCATTGTCTCTTTGTCTCATGTTTTTTTGTGCCACATGGAAGGATCTTTAAATGACCAACAGTGTTCATTTCGGTGACGTCAACAGTTGCTTGGGAGATCAGGCAGGTTTGCGATAGCCGTGATTTTCCGTCAACTCTTTGAGTTTTTGAGGTTAAGCATTCAAGACGAAGAGCCATTGACGGTGCGGGAGAGGTTTGGAGGGGGACAAAAATGGTTCCATGCCCTTCTCCCTAATTATCCTAATTGCAGGTCGAGACTTGGAGACACTCTCGGATTTGCTAAAATTTGGCTTCCCAAAGATGGATAGGAACCCTACCAGCACCTCAAACTCCACTGAAACCGGAATCATGTTGAACATCTATCAAATAGACTAGTGACTAGAGCCTATAGAGGTCCGGAGAGTGTCCTGGATAGCCGTCGGATCGTGGTTCCTCAGCGACAGATCCAATATCGTTCCTGTACGCCTTCGACACCACCGTCACGCTTGGACACTGGGCAGCCCACCAGCGTCACGTCATATTGGTTCCATCGGCCTTGCAGAGGTTTAATTGTCTTTTAGTTTTGGGTCTGGGTTTTGGTTTGGCACTGCATGTGTATATTAGTGTGTATATATATATATGCAATATGACCCGGACAACTGATGGAAGAGAAGTTCCTGGGAGCGTTCGCACTGGTTGGGGCATGTGTAGCGGAGGGTAGTGCATAGGGAGGGTCTACTATCAATGTTGGGTTGTTTTCTTTCTCAGACAGTTCCAAAAGATGACGTTGAAATGCTGGATGTCAGTGTCAGTCGGGCCGAAGGGTAGAGGTCCTTCCATGACCCCTTGCAGATGCCAAGTCTTCAGCAACACGTGAATGAAAAGGTTTGACTCGCTTGGCCCGTGGGACGCAAAAGGACCATGAAACAATTGGATGTGCATTAGAATTGGGAGACCTCAAGAAAGACCCTTTGGAAGAAGGAAGCCAGGCAAAACACATCGAATTGTGAAAAGAACAGGGTCGAGGACCTTTGCCTCACTTTGATCGCCGCTCACAGCTCCAAACGGTTGGACCTGTTTGTTCAGATCGGCACTGTAACCTGAGTCACCTGTTTGTTCAGCTTCGGTGTTTGGGCGGCAATTGTTGGCTTGACTAAGCTGAGGACACACGGAGCCCCGCCATCCCCTCACGAAACGGCTTTCATTCACGATGCTCGACTAGAGCCTTGGCTCAATGAGTTCACGGTGCTTGGGCCTTGGTTGAAGATTTGTCGGGTGCAGTATTTGGTTTTGGCCATCGGAGCACGTACTCGTGGATCTTCAGCAAACTTTTTGGATGCCTGCAGGATGTACCACTCGTGCTTCATCCCGCCTATCGACGACCAAAGCCGGCAAGTATCATGTTCGAGCTTCTTGGCTTACACCAAGCAAAGACTGGAGCGTCGGGTACAACCCCAGAGCTGGAGAAGATGAGAGTTTGCAAACGTAAATCCTTCATAATCCATCCATATCCATCCATGAAACGTTCATGAAACTAAACTTTTACACGCAGTGAGCGCATATTGGTGTGATACAGGCAATAGAAGGTCGTTGACTGGAGTTGGAAGCTTCTCGTCGGTGGGTGTTTTCCATGTCGTTTTGGGAAGTGATGTGGGGTCGATTGGATTGCACCTCTACTTTGAACTCTGGAAGGGGCCTTCCCGCCTTCCCTACCAGATTCGGCGTGACGGGTCCGGGCATGTTCGGTCCGAGCGGTGGCCGGACTTCGAGGCCGTCACGTCCGAGGCCAAGACACCGAACTTCGACACACCTCGCTCCATTTCACCCAAGTCGGAGAGCGATGAAGAGGATGTGGGCTGGCTTGGTGGAAGTGTTGTTTGGTGGTTAGATGGAGTCGAAACACTGCTGGCTGGCATGCTTTCCTGGGTGGCCCTTGCTGTTCCGCACTGGGCCGCCCAAAACCCACACTCTGTTGATTTGAAGGCATTCTTAGGTCTACACTTTACTTGCAGGGTTGCCGCGAAGGGCAAGCTTCCAATGGAGGTTGCAAGCTTCCAACAAAGTTGCATATTGGCCACGACCATTGAGATCCATTCCTGGATTTGGCCATTAACTTTCTTCATGTCTTTGAACCTGGGACTCGGACATTAAGATTCACTCGTGCACGGAACCTTGTTCAATCATTTTGTCTAGTTTCTTGAGGATTTCAAAACAGTCTTCAGAGTCTTCATGGTTGTGCTAAGTGTAGTTTTTGATTCATTCACCACGAACACCGCGGTGCTAGCGAGGTACAGCTGGCGAAGCAAGCTCACACCATCAGGAAGTGGTCATATTCAACGCAGGCGGGCAGCGTGTGATATTCATCGGTTCGGTGTGTGAAGTGGTCGACCTCACTTGTTGTGGATGATGGAAGGTGCCTTTTAGCAGCGCTTTTTTCAAGGTTTGGAAGGAACAAGGTGGCAGCCCCACATCAGTCAAATCAATACACAGGGACTAACACAAAGGGACCGCGCAGGTCTCAAGTTGCTTTGATTGAATCCGCACATTAGCGGGAAAGCTTGTTGTTTGAAGCCTTTGATCAGTTGTTGTCACGTGCTTTATTTAGGCCATGGTGCCAGTTGATAAGGAAAAGTGAGGACCGTGATTGGATTCAACTGTTGAAAAAGTTTTACGGGATGTCAGAGTGCTGCTTCTCTATATGCAGCTTGGAGTAAAGTTCAAGTAGTGCCAGGGCGCCTATATATCGGCTGATGACATATGATGATTCTTGTGGTCTCCGCAAGTCCAATGCTTCTTGCCCAACATGTTTGCTCCCTTGCACCCAGCTTGATGGCTTGCTGTATATAGGTTAGTGTGGTCAGATTGGTCTCGTCTGGACGGCCCGACTCATGGCGGCCAGCATATTCAAAGCGTACACATGTCACATACCATTGTTAGGAGGATCTTTCTTGGTGCGCAAGGAAGAGGCCTCCTACGCCTTGCCCTTGACATTCCTGGCAGAAAGTGAGTCCATCATTGAGCCAGATGCTAATCATTGCAATGGGGCAAGGCGGGTGGCAGACAGTGGCATCACTCAAGGTAGCTATGTCGTGCAGGCCACTTCTTACAAAACTGATGCATTCAACAGACTTCCACAAGATGGCTGCATAGCAAAGCAGGTACTGCAACGGCATCATGGCAGAAGAAGTATCACATGTTGTTTGCACAGTAGTCTTCCAGACAATTTCAACAACATCCGACGAACAGCTGTTCTTCAGATACCCAAGCGAGTTCAGTGCCCGTCGTTTCACCAAGGAAACGATCACCGATCAGCGCATCATCACTCTGTACAATGCTTCAGTGGAGCTCACAGAGGTCGGGGAGGGGTCCATTCCTGAGGAGCATTGAACATAGAACTAGCAGATTTGACCCCCGATGATCTACAGGTGTCTAGAGGATTTGAATGAATCTGAACTTACTGAACAAATGAAGAGCCCGAAATCCAGAGATTGCCCCTCGCCAAACTGTAGCACAGGCATTAGGTCACTGGGTGTCCAAAACTGACCACTGGTTTTGCATGAAACCAAGGAAACTTTTAACCCGGGCGAAGCCATTGCATGCCCACCCTAAAATAGACGTGGAGAGTTTGGTCGCCTGCAAGTGGACGTGCTTGATGGTTTTGTGGTTCACGCATGGCTCCGACAAACCACTGACTATGGTACCTTCAGAGCGGATTCGGCCAGTGATGCATCATTGGCTTGAACGGATCGCAACCAGGTGGGCATTAGCACGGTGATGGCCCCCAGTGTGGCGCGGCGCTTCGAGAATGCTCTCGAGCACATCAAGGTCACGGAGAGACTCAGGCTGTACAAATTGGAGTTTCCAAGCTCAACTAGGGCCGGCTAGGGTATCCCGGTGGCTTATTGAAAGATTGATCAGTGGCTTTCGCCTTATCTATCCACATAGTTTTGTCCGGACGTGACGATGGATAGCAATAGGATGACAAGAAGAGATGGCAGCCTCATTTGATTCTCAAAGAAGTTGTTCAAAGTAGGAGGAGCTGGTTGGGCAAGCCCTTAGGGCTTGCCAGCCTTTGCAAACTTCAGCCAGTTTCAATCCCCTCCGCATTAGCTTTAAACGCGTGTTCTACTCCCATACCCCTGAATGAATTTGCTGCCTATCAACGACAGGAGTGCGGGAGAGGACCCAATCTGGGATAAAAAAGTGTTGACCACGTCTCACTTGGATGACAACTACTGATCAACACAATGCTTAGAACGTTAGTCATGAGTCTTGAGTCATTAGTCAATGTAAAAAGAAGTCTAACTGAATCATACTATGTCGAACAAATTTTTGACCAGTTTTTGATAGTTTTTGGCCATATAAGATTCAGCTGTGTGTTTTAGGCGGTATGAGTATATTATATATATAATTATGTGTGTGTACGCTTCAGGAACGGCTGCTTCGAGCCCAACGACTTCGTCAATGAAGAATTGTTCCATGACGACTTGTTCTTAGAGGCCATGGAAGCCTACACCACATATGGCAAGATGGAATCCATTGTGTGCCGAAGCCAGCACGAAAGAAGGTCTTGGGACCGACGCATCGCCGAAATCACGTGCTTCAACTGTTTGCAGGGCATGAAATGAATAAATAACATCAAAGAATGGGTAATCCATCCATATTCGGATTGGTTTTGCATGGTTTTGGGTATTTGAACGGAGGACGGGCGGTTCTAAAACTTCTCCTTTTCTTCAGGGACAACCCAGGGTTCATCCATCCGTTTCTCCACTGTGTCCTGTGAGGTGCGAAATGCAGACGTTGATCATTGACGTGTTGAAGGTCTTGAATGATGACTCTGAAGAACGTTTGGACATCGTCGCCGGTCAGGCCACCGGACGAGACGACCTCACCGTGGCAGCCTGATCGCGCCGTGGTGGGTTGTTCTTTGCGTTGGTGGCTGTTCGCGGTGTTCGTGGCTGTTCGTCATGGAAGACGCGATGGCTGTAGCCAGAGGTAGGTCTCTGCCTCCCCCAAAAATCGGAGTTCCGCCCCCTGGCTGTCTGGACAGCAGTCGGACACAGAGAAGGGACGTTGGTTCACTTGATTCGATGGCTGTTAGAGTTAGAGGGCAAAGATTTGCAACTACGGAAGCTGCCATTGGTGTAAGCATTGGTCAATTCAACAGCACAGTTTCCCGTTTTCCTGAGATCTGGGTCATTGAACAGCAAGTATCGGAGTTGAACATCCCACTACATTGACCACCCCGATATAGAGCCTAATACCATGTGTTGGTATCCCATGGTATGTTTCTTGTAGAATCGGCCTGTGGGAAGTGAAGCGTAACGTCTTTGCGTATCAGGCGTAACGTCTTTGTGTTGTCCACACTACAGTTGAGTCTATCAGTAACATTATGGCAACATGATACATGTGCGTCTTTGCTTCATCAAGTGGAGTAGCAGCTAGTGTACTTGAACGTCTTGCGGCTCGGAGTTGTGATATTTGGACACATGTGGGGTCAGATGAGGATGGATGAGGATTTAAGTGACCAATCTCCACTTCTCGTGAGCACACTCCGTTTGGAAAGCTTTTTCGACCCTTACACGGTACTTCCTCCGGGTTTTCGAGCTCGACCCTCCGAAGGCCATTGGTGTTGCGGTGGGTCTTGAAGAGGTTGAAGCTTGGCCCAGCACCGCAGCTGCCCGTGGAAGAGTGGGTGTTGGTCTTGTGCAAGTTCACTACACTTGGTGGTTTAGTTCAGGAGCAGACCCAACATGCACCGACATCCAAGATACGTTGGTAAAGAGGTGTTCTTTGTTATTTTTTGATCGTTTGTTTTGAGCCGTGTGGGACGGTTTTATGCTATACACATGTCCTCACCTCGGATTCATCACTGGGTTTCTTTGTTCTCCGTTACGCCTCAAGTGGAGGTTCAAAGAGTTCGTTGAACAGTTGCAGGAAAGGTCCTGTTTAAGGACCCTCCGTTCGTCGTGGCGTCGACCCTCGACGAGGAGACCACCGTCCAAAAGAAAACTGTTCGCGTGGCTCACCGGTCCGCGGAAGGCGGCGAAACCGTCGCTGAGGAGCACAAGACCAACGCGATCATGGAGCGAGTCTTTGGGCTCCTAGCAGCTTCTTGGTGGATCAACTGAGGGGACGAAGGCTATGGAGTTGAGATGAGTTGAGGAAAGTCACATGGATGATCATGGAATCATGGTTGTGTGTTGTAACGAGACGGTTTCTTCTGTATTGTGATTCACCGATTCATGAATGTTCCTTTCTGAGGTTTTGCCCGCAAGGGTCCATTGTGCAAGACCAGCTTACTGATAGGATTACCAGGATTGCTGATTGTATTGACATTGCTTTTGGTGACTGAAGGGTTCTTGTTGTTGGCAGCTACCCATACGGAAGACTTGAATCCGAGGAGCTACAGTAAGGACAAGGATTCTAAAAATATTGGTGAAACAACACGCCTGCTTTTTTGGGGGCTGGCCACTGCAGACAAATTTAGGCGCTGAGTGCTGAAGCAAAGAGCTTCAACTACACCGCATGGTTGCAAGCCATGGGTGAGAGCGATGCTTGGTGAAAGCAAGGGGTTCAGCACTCTTTTGTGCACTTGACATTGTCCTCGCTTGTGCACTTGAAGGATGATGGTTGTCAGTTCTTCCCCCCTCACCTCTTCAGGTTGGATGATGGTCCTGTCAATCTCTCACACATAGGCTAGGGGCTTTAATGTGGTGAAGAGCGCAAGTGCGTCTCAGATGTGCAAGTCATCACGTGTGGCCACAGCAGATCAATGAGGGTGGCCACAGCAGATCACTTGGGGATCAGTATGTTTGCTTTTGGTCATTTTGGTGCCTTTCAGGGTATCTATGTCCTACTTTGGTGATTCCAGTTCGTGTTTTGGTGTGTCAAGGTGGTAGCCAATTGTCATGCTGCATGCTGCAGGGCCACTCTGTGAAGAACACATAGGTGTTTTGGACTTGGATGGTTCAGGAGGTTCTGACGTCAAAATCGATAGAAGCATGACAAATGCACCACTCTTGTTTCAGAGATGCAATGTTTCACCATAGGGTTGGAGGCCATCGCTCCTAGGGTGGAGGCCGTCGCTAGTAGGTTGGAGGCCGTCGCTAGTAGGTTCCTTAAAGTATCATTAAAGTCTTTTGTTTAAAGTATTTTCTATAAGAACTACAGGGTCTTCCTTCCGTTATGCATGTGGCGGCCTGGGTGGAACAAACGTCGTGACGCAGCTCGTGAGGAACTGGAAGTCACCGAGCTCGTTGAAGAGTTCATGACGCAGAAGCAGGAGCTGAGCTCAGGGCGGCTCTGCATCGTTTGGGAGAAACTGGAAGAAACCACTCTTCAGATCAAAGCCTCGTTTTTCGGCAGAAAGCTCGTCATTTTCCTTCATTGAGGGATGGGTCAGAAATGGTGCTTGGGATATGGGACCCGCCAAATGACATCCGCATGCACAAAAAATGCTGATGCTTAGGGCAGCTTAGCCAGTCAGCCAGTCGTTTGACCGTGTTCTTGTTTTCACTCAGGGTATCGACCGATGGAATCAAGAATTGTATCTGGCAGACTTGGTCAGACTTGCTCTTCGTCGCTAGGAGATTCGAAAGCTTCTCTGGATCTCCAATATCGAGGCGTCTTGCTTCACGCTGTCTTCTTGTCGCATCCAGAGCCCCACAATAACATAGACCTGCATCAGACCTTCCATGCAGGGCCCTTGGGGGATGTGTGTCTTGGAAGGATGGCCTTTTTGGATCGCCTGAATGGATTTCCAGTTCATTCACACAATTTTGTCACCAACATGGAACTGGTACTGTAGCCATTCACACTAGAGGGAATCACCCAGCAAAAAATGGCTTTGATTTCGGGTGTCCGCTGTGAGCCAGGCACACCAATTCTGGGGTTCCTTATCGGAAGATCTCACTTCTTGTGTTTTTGGTACTCCCCTCCCTCAGACTAACGACGTAATCATATATATACTGTAATATATTGGGTCAAGACGGTCAAGGTAATGACTTAATCATTAGTTAGAAGGCTCAATCATTGGTGATTAGTCAAGATAAGCCTTCTTAGAAGCCATGGGATTTCGTCAAGCCTGTCGTTCTTCGCCACGCGCAGGCGGACGAGTTCCTCAACAGCCGTCTTCTGGTCGCAGCGATGACGTTTGCGAAGTCGCTCGGTCGTTGAACCGGGGGCCAGTGCCGTTTCATCCCCACTCCCATTAACCGCTGCACCTCCCAAAAAGAGTCGAAAGAGGGAGACCTAAGCTACGAAGCATCCAGGAAGCTTGTGTGATCTATACCAGGAAATCATTCATTTTTTCAAGAGTTGACTTTCGAACTGTTTCTGGTGGCCACCCGATAGGTTTGGCACATCCCGATCAGCATGCTGGCCACAGGTGGTTCGAGAAGATGCGCAAAGCTGCAGATGAGTTCGAGGAGTTCCTCTTGAAGCAACTTGCGATGGGGATATGCTTGCTTTTGGAAACCAACAGCGCTTGAGGTTGACTGTCCTCCTGAAAGAGGGCTGCTAGTGGGTGAAGGGTAACACATCCACAAATCAAAGAGGTGACCCAAGGAATTGCTTGGACGTTGATTTTGACATGGACACCCAGAAAAGAGGCTTGTGAAAATGTGAAAAATGGCGTTCTCCAGCCAAACAGAGGACGCGTGTTTAGCAGGCAGCAGAACGCTCGAACCATCGAAAACAATGGGCCTTTATATATGCTTGGCCCGTATTTCAGAACGATGGGCTGGATGCGTGTTTTCCTTCTGGGAAGCTAAGGCAATATGAAGAAGGAGGCCGGTACCGACATAGCATACTTTCAGAGGGATGACTTTTGTGCAACCCAAAAACAAGCTTGCGAAATGAATGGCCACCTCGTAGCAGATCAGCAGGCGACCAGTGATCAGGCCATAGCCAAACATCTCAAGCAACTTGCCATGAGGCAGCTACGGCTGGTATCGATTCAAGCGCATCTTCCAACAGCAGTCAGAAGAACGAAAGAGGCCCTGGCTGCTTTGCATTGGGGGTGTACCACATCATTCGTTCGGTGGTCCTTGAATGATACGGGCCGTCTCCCCATCAATTTCCTGCAGCTCCGGCAGGTTAGCTCTTCGTTTGCAAGAGAAGAAAGAATCATGCAAAAAGGAAGCGCTGGAGAGCCATGGAAAGCGTTTGGAAGCTGCAATCGAAATGAGGCGTGAGTTGTACTGTGATCATGTTGTTGCCCCCGCGAGGCAAGTATCCGTGCTTCCGCGATTCAAGGTTGATGTTCCTTTCCCCATTCCGCGGACCGCGGAAGGTCTTAGCAGGCTTAGCAGGCTTGTCCTCCTTTGATATTTTTTGACGACCTTTAGAGTTCCTTTCATTGGATGTGTTTTTGCAAGGCGAGAGCGTGACGCTGAGAAGGAGTTTGAGCCTCCACCCAGCAGTGCCAGGGCAGAAAGAGGGAGTGCAGCGAGATCGCTCCGCTCCAGGGCCACCACGGGACGCTGCAAAAGTCGCTGAACGACCCAGGTTTGGCCAGGTATAGAAGCTAGCTAGATGAAGCTAGGCCCAGACAATCCATAATTCTGGAAGAATGGCCAAACATGACGGTGTATTTTTGAAGATATTTGAAGTGTAGGTTAGGGTCTGGGTGGGCCTCTTTGCCTGTCAGCTTCAAACATACACTTGAGACTATTTATAACTAGCCCCAGACTATTTATAATATATTTGGGGGTTTGGACAGGCAAAAGGCCCCACACAGACCCCACCATCCACCAAAACGACCCAAAATCCACTCAGTGTGTTCAATCAACTGCATAAAAAAATGTAAACACAGCGCTTGCCGCTTTGCACTCTGTCTTTTTCCGTTCCTGAACCATTGGTTAGTCTGAGGTCAGATTCCTCTGAATCCACTCAAGCGAAACCCCCTGCTGGACCACAGTGGTCACATCTAAATGAGGGAATGGAAAATGCCCACTCACTTCTTGGTTCTGACCCTTTTGGCCTTGGCTTTTGGCTCTTCCATCAACTCCCTGGACTTCCGTGGCGGCTTCCGGGTTTTTTTGCCATCACCATTACCATCACCATTGTCACCATGCTTCGCATCTGCCCTGGGAGATGGCTTTGGCTTTTGTTTTACAAATTTCCAGCTGTGGCTGTCCCAATGAAAATAAGGATCACTGGCTACATGAAAAAGTAACTTCAAAAAAAGTGAAAAATGCAATTTCTTGAGCAATGGAAACAAACACTTGGAGGTTAAGCAAAAGTCAAGAGGCTTTGCGCTTTCCTTGGGCAAAGAATCACCCTTGCTGAAGATGTCGAACTTCTTCCGGAGTGTCTCTGGGAGATCGGAAGGGGACATGCCAAGGGTCTGTGACATGAAGCCAGAGACCTTTCTGGCAACTGAGAGCCTTTGCCCATCATAGCTGTCTGCGTGGATGATGCACTCGGCTGCCATGCCACAGGCCACAGTCATAGAGACCAAATTGCACATCTCCTGAATTTGGTCAATGAATCCAATACTTGACCCACAATTTCCAGTGGCAATATGCATATGGGAAAAAAACAATTGAGATTCAAGACAAATTAGCACACACTTTTGGCCCGTTGCCACCTCAACATCCTTCCGCAAAGGTTTTGCTCTGGAAAGGACATGGTCAATGGAGGCTTTTGATGATGATCGAAAGGCCAAAACAATGTCCAAGACTTTGGCCTCCTTCCTGAGATCATCACGCCACTCAACCAAACTCGCGAATGCTTCATCCAAGGCTTTCTCGTTCTCCCCCTCAAACATCCACAGCACAGCAGCCAAGTTCCAATGCGTCACGCTCTCCACCACAAGACTGAAGGGTTGACACCAAAGTGCACAAAAGTGGTTGTCTGAGTTCAAGTTGGGTCATTGTTTGTCTAGTCTTGTCCGGTGGTGTAACTGATTAATTGTCATCTCAACTAGTCTATTGTATGTTGAACTCAATTGTAATTGAATTATTGTATTATGTATTGTACTGGTACTCGTTACTTGTTAATTGTAATCATTGTTTCTTTTGGGCACCAGCCTACAAACAACCTTTTGTTTTAGAACCGGGCCTGTACTTGGAGACTTTACCCTTGCCAGTTTTGAGCATGTCCTCAATCTTGGAAAGACCGGCTGATAAATTTTCATGCGCCTGGCTCCTGAAGGATGACAAAGTGTCCATCAGGTCTGGAAAGAAGAACTTTATGTTCTCAATCTCCAAGCTGTCAATGGTCAGCAGTGCTTTGGCTTGCTGAGTAAGGGGGTCAGTTGGGGAGGAAACCAAACCTTGAAGCACATGGGCTTGCTTCAGCACACCCACCAGCTTGTCCAACTCTGGACTCAGCTCGAGCTTCTGATCTTGGATAACCTGCAAAGCCTTGACTGGCCCGTCAGTGGCCAAGAGCTGCTTCCATTCATGTTTCCCCACATTCGTGAGCTGCTGGTCAAAACGATCCAAAGCAAGTCTGCCTTCCTTCACCCACTTTGGAAGCCCCTCCAGCTTGTGGCATGAAGCCAATGTGTTCTGCAAACCTGCTCTGGCAGCACATGAATCCTTTAATGTGGGCTTCTCCTCTACCGCATAGTGAAGCAACATGCTGGCGAACTCACTCAAAGCAAGGTTCTGATCCACATCCTGGCGAAGAACTCTTGCACAAATAAGGCCTTCGGGCGAGTGAATCCGTGAGTGACACATTTAGCAGGTTGTAGCTGTAGCCTAGCCAAATTTAACCTTCAAAGAACTTGGGAGCAACCAAAAACTCAATCGGCCTTTCGTAGCAGCTTTCCAAATCGCCAACATAACCTCATCCTTGTCTCGGCATGGTAAGTACAGGTAGGCCTTTGGCTCTTCCAGCCACAAATCCTGAACATGTTTACTGAATGTGACCTCCACATCAGAAAAGAACTCAGAGTTCATGGATGTAGTCATCTCTTCAAGCGCGCTCTTCAATTGATCTGCACTCTTTGCAGCTTCATCAGCTTTCAACTCCTGACAGGCTACAAGGTAGTCTTTTGCACTGCTGCAATTGAAACCCGCTTCCTTCACCTCATTAAAGGTGGCACTGGAAGCAAGCGCTGGCGGCTGACCAAGTTTCTTCACAAGCTCAGTCAAAGACGTAGCCAACCGCTCAGCCTCAGAAGCAGCCTTGGACTCATCAATAGCCATCTTCGCAATCTCGCAGGCAGTTGCCCAAAGAGTCCTGTAGTGGGAAAAAAGGTCGTGTCGTGTTGCATTCCTACTTGCATGCATCACATTCCAAAATGTAGAGATTAACCAAACACGCTGCCACACACACAGGCGTTTAACCCCTGTCTTCAATCTGTTGTTTGCCCGGAAGAGCAAGGCGCAGCGAGGAGAAATTTGCGGTGAATTGCTCACTGTGGCTTTGATCTCCTTGATTCGCTCTGGCCCCAAGACCAGCTCTCCCTTGGACTGAATCAGTACATATCCAAGCGCCAGGAATCGCTGCAGGTCGGGGAGCATTTTCATGACCATGTGGACGTTGCCATGCACGTCACTGTCTCCATTTGGCCTAGACCATGGCATTGTGGGGAACTGAAGTACATGGTGAATGTCAGAGGCCACCTATCTAGCTTGAACGCCCTTCCCAAGGTTTGACTACTACTTACTGACTTGCTACCCTGTTTGGAATGAAACTTGGTTCTGACTGGGTTGGAGCCCTGTCCTGCTGAAAGTTGCTGCCCAAAGGTCATCTCCCTTCTGGAAGCTACGAAGTGCACAGTCAGTGGATTCTGGACTTGCTGTTCGAAATTTGTCCATCCAGCCATTGAACAATTGCACTTGTAGGGTCTTTGCTTGCTCTGGAGGCAGTGCGGTGCCAAGTGAAACCTGTTTGGTGTGAGCATCCAAACTCAAAAAGTCCCAGAAGTAGCCGTCATTGCCAGCAGTGAAGGCCATCTCAGAAGGGAATGACATGACATCCACAATTCATGATAGTGGCAAAGGGTGTCTTTTCAACATGGTGGCCTAGTCCTATCATCCTAGTGGTTTATCACAAACTGTGACCATATGCCAGCCTCAGTGAGCTTGCGGCCAATCTCTGTCAAAATGGCAGTTCGGCAGTCAATCTGCATTGCATCAAAGAAGTCTTCATAGATCTTGAACTCATCATTGTCGAACGCAAACTGGGGGTTGCTGAGACCTGCTTTCTCAACCATATCGCGGGCATTCTCAATGGCCAAGAGACAAGTGTTTGTTTGGTTGATCAAACCCTGCAGCTCTTGGGCAAGTCTTTGCGCGACTTCACCGGGATCCTTTTCTAGCTGAGTCTGCAACTCACACAACTTTCCAAGTTTGCTGCTCACATCCTTCTCTTTGACACTGCCTTGCCACAGGCTAAGTGCGGTAATCTTCTTCAACAACTCAATCCCAGCAGTAGCCTTCTCAAGTCTTGCCGCAAGCTGCTCATCTGAAGGTCCAGCCTTGTTTTGTTTGGTCTGCACTGGTGTAGCTGCTGACTCTTCACGGCGGGCCCTTTTTGGTGCTGGCTTGGCAGGCTTTGCCTTTGCAGCTGATGCTGTGAAGCCAAACATCTCATCAGAAGATGCTGCATCTGACTCTTCAGCACCTGCTGGAGCATCCTCTTCCACCGTCTCAGGTTGGCCATTCAAAGCCACATCCTCCTCTTCCTGTGAAAAACAGGTGTGCGCTATGTGGTACAGTATCGAATGGTTTTGATCTGGATCAATCGAGAAAAAACATAACATGACATGGTCAATCATAGTCATATAGTCATAGACTCGTAGACCAATAGTCGTAATAGTCATAGTCATAGTCTATGAGTCATAGTCATCATTAATAGTAGTCTAGTCTAGTCTAGTCATAATCATTGTCATCATAGTTCATAGTCCTTAGTCCCCTTAGCAAAAAACTTGGCACAAAAAGTTGTCAAGAGAAAGCGTGAAAAGATAGAGAGACGTGGGTAGTGAGAGCAGTCCGTCCTTCGTGTTTACCTGCATCTGGTTGTTCAACTTGTTCTTCTCCTGCTTGGACTTGGCGGCGGCTGAGTTCTCATGCTCTTCTTGGCGGATTTGTGACGCAGAGACACGGCTGCCCATTCGAACTTTCTTGGTGCTCGATGATGCCACAATGATAACTCCTTCTGTTCCCATGTCATCCTTCAGGGAGCCAAATGGCGGCACTTCTGCTGGAAGTTTAACAGGGTATATAATATATTATATTGCCAATCGCACTTATACATAGAGACTCACTGACACACTGTGTGCTGAATCTGAAGTCATTCAGTCCTGCTGCAATTTAAGGTTCAGCACCTCAGAATTTCAAGGCGGACCATTCCATTGATTGAACATGAGTTGTCCAGACTCCCAACATGAGATGACGACAAACTTCAAAAACATCTACTAAGAGTTGGCTGGCTGTCTAGTCCAGGCACATTGGAAACATAGGC